GCTCAAAACTTAAACGCCTAAAACAACAGGGTTGTGAACTGTGGCCTTCTGAGAGGTGCTTAGGTCATGGGGACTCTGTCTTTATGAATGGATTAATACCACTATAAAAAAGGGTCACCAGAGTGCATTCTCTCTTGCTCTTCTGACATTTGATGACACGATATTCCTTCCCTCTGGAGGATTCAGCTTTCCTGGTACCATCTTGAAAGCAGAGAGACTTGGCTCTAACCTGATGGCACTTTGATCTTAGATTTCCCTGCCTCCAGAACTGTGAGTGAACAATTTTCTCTTTTTATAAATTACCCAGTTTCAGGCTTTCTATTTTAGCAGCACAAGTGACACTGTTTTATAACCTGCTTCTTAGGATTTTGTGGAGCTATTAATATATCCATTACCTACTAGCTAATAGGTGAAACTTAAAATCACTTTATTATTTACTCGTGCACATTTTGTACCTCATTTTTCAGTATTTTATGCTACTCCAAGTAAGAAGATAGTCTGGTACTTAACCAACCATGTGACATGGATACAAAGTCACGAGCCTCTTGGACACATTTCTTCTGTAGTCACTAACCTGAATGTCTTAAAAGAACAAGAACTCTCATTTATGGCACCTGGAAACCTGATTACTACAGATTGGTGTCAGTGAGAATAGACAAATGGAATTGCATTAAGTTAAAAAGCTTCTGCACATCAAAGGAAACAATTACCAGAATCAGGATACATCCCATGGAATAGAAGAAAATCTTCACCAGCTAGTCAATATGTAAAGGATTAATATCCAGAATATACAAAGTGCTCAAAACACTTAACACCAAAATAACAAATAATCTAATTAATAAATGGGCAAATTAATTGGATAGTTCTCAGAAGAAGTGCAAATGGCTAATAAACATATGAAGACATTTTCAACACCCTTAGCCATAAATAAAATGCAATTCAAAAGAACTCTGAGATTCCATCCCACCCCAGTCAGAATGACAATCATCAAGAAAACAAAAGCATTTTAGTTTTATGAGGTCCCATTTATCTATGCTATCTCTTAGTTGCTGTACTGCTGGGGTTTCGTTGAGAAAGTTCTTACCTACTAACTCCAGAGTAGTTCCTACTCTTTCCTGTATCAACTTTAGAGTTTGTGGTCTGATATTAAGATCCTTGATCCATTTTGAGTTAATATTGGTATAGGGTGATACACATGGATCTAGTTTCAGTTTTTTGCAGACTGCTAACCAGTTTTCCCAGCAGTTTTTGTTGAAGAGGCCATTTCTCCATCATATATTTTTAGCTCCTTTGTCAAAGACAAGTTGGTTATAGTTGTGTGGCTTCATATCTGGATCCTCTATTCTGTTCCCCTGGTGTTCATGTCTGTTTTTGTGCCAGTACCATGCTGTTTTTATTGTTACTGCTTTGTAATATAGTTTGAAGTCAGGTATCGTGATACCTCCAGCATTGTTTCTTTGACTGAGTATTGCCTTGGCTATTCGTGGCCTCTTGTGTTTCCATATAAATTTCACGGTAGATTTTTCAATCTCTTTAATGAATGTCATTGGAATTTTGATGGGAATTGCATTAAACATGTAGATTACTTTTGGGAGTATAGACATTTTTACTATGTTGATTCTACCAATCCGTGAGCATGGGAGATCTCTCCACTTTCTATAGTCTTCCTCAATCTCTTTCTTCAGAAGTTTATAGTTTTCCTTGTAGAGGTCTTTCACATCTTTTGTTAGGTTTACACCTAGGTATTTAATTTTTTTTGAGGCTATTGTAAATGGAATTGTTTTCATTCATTCTTTTTCAGTTTGCTCATTGTTAGTGTATAGAAATGCTAATGATTTTTCTATGTTGATTTTATATCCTGCTACCTTGCTATAGCTATTGATGATGTCTCATAAAACTAAAAAGCTTCTGTTCATCAAAAGAAATGATCTGTAAACTGAAGAGAACACCCACAGAGTGGGAGAAACTATTTGCCAGCTACACATCAGACAAGGACTGATAACCAGAATATATACGGAACTTAAAAAACTAAATTCTCCCAAAACTAATGAACCAATAAAGAAATGGGCAAGTGAACTAAACAGAACTTTCTCAAAAGAAGAAATTCAGATGGCCAAAAAACACATGAAAAAATGCTCACCATCTCTAGCAATAAAGGAAATGCAAATTAAAACCACACTAAGATTCCACCTCAGCCCTGTTAGAATAGCCATCATTAGCAACACCACCAACAACAGGTGTTGGCGAGAATGCAAGGAAAAAGGAATCCTCTTACACTGTTGGTGGGAATGTAAACTAGTACAACCACTATGAAAAAAAATTTGGAGGCTACTTAAAAAGCTAGATATTGATCTACCATATGATCCAGCAATACTACTCTTGGGGATATACCCAAAAGACTGTGACACAGGTTACTCCAGAGGCACCTGAACACCCATGTTTATTGCAGCGCTATTCACAATAGCCAAGTTACGGAAACAGCCAAGATGCCCCACCACTGACGAATGGATTAAGAAAATGTGGTATCTAGACACAATGGAATTTTATGCAGCCATGAAGAAGAGCGAAATGTTATCACTTGCTGGTAAATGGATGGAATTGGAGAACATCATTCTGAGTGAGGTTAGCCTGTCCCAAAAGACCAAAAATCATATGTTCTCCCTCATATGTGGACATTAGATCAAGGGCAAACACAACAAGGGGATTGGACCTTGAGCACATGATAAAAACGAGAGCACACAAGGGAGGGGTAAGGATAGGTAAGACACCTAAAAAATTAGCTAGCATTTATTGCCCTTAACGTAGAGAAACTAAAGCAGATACCTTAAAAGCAACTGAGGCCAATAGGAAAAGGGGACCAGGAACTAGAGAAAAGGTTAGATCAAAAAGAATTAACCTAGAAGGTAACACACACGCACAGGAAATTAATGTGAGTCAACTCCCTGTATAGCGATCCTTATCTCAACCAGCAAAAACCCTTGTTCCTTCCTATTATTGCTTATACTCTCTCTACAACAAAATTAGAAATAAGGGCAAAATAGTTTCTGCTGGGTATTGAGGGGGTGGGGGGGAGAGGGAGGGGACAGAGTGGTGGCAAGGGAGGGGGTGGGGGCAGGGGGGAGAAATGACCCAAGTCTTGTATGCTCATATGAATAATAAAATAAAAAAAAAGAAAAGAAAACAAAAGCAAATGCT